AACAGGTGTTTCTAGGATTGTAGGAGAGTGTCGATTTCTTTCAGCAGCTTCATATAGTTAGCACTAAAGAGTTCTTTGTCGCTGCGGGTGATTTTGATGCCCAAGTACACTAGGTGGTCTTCCCTCCAGTCGAAGCGGTGTTTTGCTTTCAGTCTGTCTTCTGTTGCTTTGGGGGTGTTGAGACACATTGCTTGGGTTTTGGTGATGTTGAGTTTGTAATATGATTGATTGCTGTATGCTTGTAGTGCTTTGTGCAGGGAGAGGAGTGTTGTGAGTGGTTGTGTGAGTGTAAGGAGGATGTCGTTGGCGAATAAACTGAGTTTGTATTCTTTGTTTCCAAATTGTACTCCGCGTATGTCGTTGTTGTCACGGATGGCTATGGCCAGGAGTTCTAGGGCCAGTACGTAAAGGAGTGGAGATAGGGGTCATCCTTGCCGGGTTCCGTTCGTGATTGTGAGTGTACAGTTTCATTGTGGATAATTAACGTGAATTCTTGAGGGAGCGTGAACCTTGTATGTAGGTTTGGGGGGTGTACCTGTTCTTGGTTCCAGTCCAGGTGCTGTGGGTTTGTCAGTGAGCTTTGTGCCTAGTTGTCGCTTGTTTCTGTCTATGTGGGCACTAATGTCGCAGTGGTGGAACGTGGTCACCTGTCTCCGAGGTGCTTCTAGCGCGTTGACTCGTTTGTCAGGCGAGGCCTAGGTGTGTGATGTATCCCAGTACGTGGGGGGGGGGGCAGCTGCGGGGTGCGGAATGTAGGTATAAAAGGGACAGGGGTTAAACAAATAGTAGAAAAGTATTCAAACAATGTAACTTATAATACAGTGGTCACTTTCAAGGGTATGTGCCGAATAGTGGCACTTCTCAAGTGGGGATAATGTGGTCGGGTCGTATCCAGCAGGTGGCAGGTATGGGCTCACTGGATTTAGGCCTTCCCCGGTGGAACTGCTAGTCCAGGCAACTGGTTAAGATATGTCACTTTGATGGGGCGTCTGATATACAGAGAGTATTAGAACATATCATTGTGAAGTGCCGTTGTGACGTGTGGACTGATGTGTGACGTGTTTGACCAGTCTTAGATTTTGCCCTTTATGGCGCAACGTTTGGGGGGGAGGGGGTTTGGCTGTTGTTGCTATGTGCCCTTGCGCCTTCTATGGTCATATAACTTATTTTGCTAGCTGTGTATTTTGAAAAATCGCTAACATTTATAAACTTTTTACAAACTTTGCAGTCGTACAGATCAGTCTGGAGGGGTATTTGTATGGAATTAGGGCTAGAAACATAGGGCATTCCCCTATCGGTCAGGTAGGGGTGCAACATGTAGTGGTCGGTCCCATGGGGTGTATGGTGTGCCCTTTTTACTTCGCAAATAGTAGTTGTGGAGTGGCAAGTGCCTCTAGGGCAGTTCTGCAGTATAGTGAGTTTCGGTGGGCAACCAACTCGTATGTCTCAGCGGCTATGAGGCCCAGACCATTGAGGTTGTATATGTGCTGATTTTAGAGGGGCTGTTGAGAGGTTTGTGGGGTTTGGGAGGGTGGAATTTTGACGGTTGTGCTCATTGCCCCTATGCTCTTTGTGGGCTTCTTTATTTCGGTATGGGTGGGCCCCTTGGTGTTACACTTCAAAGTGTACCTCAATCGGGCAGTATGGACACTCTGGGGTTGAGGATGGTAGGTTTAATCCCTATGTGGTGGTACTATGGCGATCGGGTAGTCAATATGAATTTTCCCCGGGTCGGGTTGTTTTGCGGGATTTAGAGTGTGGCTGGTCCTGCGGACCATGTAACATGCCATCTTGCGGTTGTTTACTTGCTCTATTAGTTCAAGAAACTTGTGCTCGGGTTATGTTACGGTAGGGCCCTCATGGGTCAGTTTAACTCTAGGCATTCAAACATTAAACATAACACATTAACATATTAATTTTCTATAAAGTTACACTTGCTGGTTCATGCGGGGTCAGCGGTTGTCATCTCTCGGCGATGCTCGTCTTGGTCTCTGCAATCGCCATTCAGCGCCTGGTGCTGTGCTGGAGCGTGCGGGTTGTAGATTCTGAGCTATGCCCCATTTGTGTAGCAGTTCCAGTCCCTCTGTCGGTGAGGTGGCTAGAGTAAGTTTCCCACCTTTGGTGAGGAGGGGTTTTGCTGGGTAGCCCCATCCATAGGGGATGTTATGCTGTCTCAGTGTTTCTGCTACATTTTTGAAGGATCTTCTGCATCTTAAGGTGTCCGCTGAGAGGTCTGTGAACAGGAGGATGTCGTTCTATTTAACAGGTAAGTCTTTTTTTTTTGTTCTGTGAGCTCGGAGTATTTGGTCTTTCACATGGTAGTAGTGGAGCACTCATGAGCACTTCTCGTGGCGTAGAGGCAAGGAGGTGTTGCGGTCTGGGGATTCTGTGGATACGGTCCAGCAGGAACATGTCGGCCAGTAAGTTCGGTAGAATGTGCTGAAATAATTCCTCTGTGTAGGCCGTCAAGTCCTGCGTGCCGACCTCTTCTGGTACCCTCCGCAGTCTGATGTTGTTGCGGCGGGATCTATCCTCCACGTCCGCGAGTTTAGACTCATGATGTGTCAGTATGTTTTTAAGTTCACCCATGCGGTCTTCTATGGCCGTGTGGGCCGCGTCTTCATCCGCCATCTTTTCCTCCAGATGCGTGGTCCTAGCATCGAGATCTGTTAGGTCTTTTTGTAGTGCAGCTATCGCTCGCTGCTGTGATCGTCGCTTGCATCCTTGAGACAGCCACATCCAGCATTGTTTGCAGGAGTTTAGGAGTCAGTGAGGCATCTGTTCTTTTGTTAGATATGCCTGTGTGCTCTGCGTCCAGGTCTGAGTCGGCGCCATCTTGGGCCTGGTTGTCAGCGTGTATGTGTTGCGGTGTTCTGGCCGCGAAAAAGGTTGATTTGTCTTTTGCTTCTGCAGTTTTCTTTGCCCGGTTCTGAGACATCGTAGCCTTTCTGTTGGTGTCGGGAAATCTCCCTAAAATTGAGTGATTGCCATGTTTTAAGAGCCCGAGACTGCGGAGCTCTTTCAGTGTGCTGCCATACTCGTCCGATGTCTGGCCACCCCCCCAATCATTTGTTACTTTAATTGGCCTTTTGTTTTACATGTAACGGTCCATTTCATCTGAAATTTACATTAGCAGTTAAAATAACAATTATGTTCAGTCATGGCACAGTCAAGACATAACTGTCTTTAAATGTCTCAACCTCTCCCTATGCTCAGCAATGCGGGTTTCTACATTTAGGACTGGATTCTATTGGAAGAGTAAGGGACGATTCTGCTTACTGAATATTAATTCCTCCATTGCAATCTGTGGGAAAATTGCAATTGCTATTATGAAGTCCAAGGGGATCAAACCTAACTCCAGATCTAGCAAGTAAAAACAATGGGCTCCCCTTTACTGGGTAATTATAGCAAAGATATATAGGGAGCTGATACAAAAAACACACTTAGAATATGTTAAAGCTGCACTGTCACTGGCTGGGGACTTTGCATAATTTGCAAAGACTGCCAACTGTGACATCGCCACAACCTCAACCTGTCCCTCGCATGTGCTGCCATTTTCTTCCAGCTGGCCCACTTCTGCTCCTGGTGCTTCAGCGACGTCACTGTTGTACTCTCACATATGCCCCTGAGTACAGCATTGCATTTATGGAGAATCATGTGAGACCATGGATCCTCCATAGCTAGTGTTAATTCCCTGCAGCCATCACTGGTGATGGCTTGGTGATTAACACTTCTAGATGGCAGTAGCTCTACCCAGTGTCTAAAAGTGTCAGGCGTAGGAAAGGTAGGGCAGTTCCACTTTAAGCATTAAAAAAGTTATTCCATAATTATATAACAATAAAAGTATAATGTCAACTACATTAAAAATAAAGTAATTGTAGCAATGATAAAATCATTAAACAGTCATAACAAAGTACCAAGATCTAAATCCCCATTTATACATTTGGGGTAAATTGGGTATATGAAACAGGGAGTCCCAGAAATGGACTGTTGGTGTGTGCAAGCAAACCCTTAATTGAACAATAGTAGAAATGTATAATCCATTTGGTCTCTGTTCACTCAACTCAGTTTACTCAATTCCCATAACTCTTAACAATGAAGAGTCAGCATTATAATTTTTTTTTAAATGTATGAAAATAGAGTTTGCAGAAGAAGAATGAAAAAGAGACCTATGATGCTCCCTAAACCTGTCTTTAATTCTCCTCAACATCTGACCAACATATTGTCAATGGCAATAACACAGTAGAAGGTATCCAACATAACAACTGTTATAGTAAAGCCTATAGAAAAACTGAAAAACTAGAAGAGTTATAAAAAAAAAAAAGCTAAAAACCCTCCTGGTCTCATATTAATATGGGAACAGGTCATATAAAGTGTTGCTCCAGATTAAAAATTAACTTAAAAAGACAAGGTACCTACTCATGTTATTGCCTTTGGTTGTCTTAGTAGGCAACCAATACAATCAGGTAGCAGGCCAAAATATTGTTGGTGTTGGGTGCACTACTAAATGTAACAACTGGTTTGTGAGGAGGCTAAATTTAGGCCAATGATGCTATCATAAGGACACCCAATGATGATTGAAAAATGTCAATAATATGGTTAGACCAACAGTTGAGCGTGAAACACTGTTCCACCACTATTTTCCATATATTTACTGGCTATCCTATAATTACAAGGTTTAGCTTTAGTCACAGATTGGGAAAGATTCAAGAGATCCAAGATCTCCAAATGACAAACTGAAGGTTTTTTGCAAGTCTTTTTGTCAATGAATCGCTTTTTAGAGACAAGAGAAGAATAAGAGTTTTTCTAACTAAATGCTTAGCCAAACTATATGCTTCACAGATTATCTTCACATCATACATTTTCTCTAGGAGCCAGAAGCCACATGGAACGAACGTGTCTCTCGTGCTCTCCGTTCTACCCGGTGATAAAATCGCTGATTTCCCCTGTTATATTTACCACATCAGCTCGCACAACGCGCAACCTGCTTTGCCGAGGTAATGAGGTGCAAGAGCAAAAATTACCAGGTGGAAAAGCCCCTGCTCACTGCCGATATTGGTGATCTATTGTGGAGGCAGCAGGCTTCCTCAAAGCCTGCCATGGTGCTGCTCTCTCACTCGCCCTCGCAGATGTCCAGTGAAGAGTCACTCTCCAACCAGGCGTTAATGGCTGAGACACGGAGAGTAGGCAAGCTTCTGGTGCAGGGAAGCCCTCCTGTCACTGAAGATAGACTGAAGGCCCAACTGGATGACCTCCTTCGCAATATCGCGGCAGACATAAATTAATTTAAGGAGGAAATTCTGGATGGGTGTTACCGGCTACCACAACCTCAGGCAACCTCGCAGCAAACCAGCAGGGATGTTATTATATGTTTTCAACACAGTCCAGACAAACAAGCTTTCCTATCCACAGCTCGCAACACCTCTCCATACCAATTTGAGGAACATTCCTTCTTGTTTTATCCTGACATATCTTGAGTCACCATGGACTGGTAGATGTCCCTGAGAAACTTGACCACAGTGCTGATACAGCACAAGATGCCCTACAGGTGGGGTGCACCTAGATTCCTTCTGATCCCACGTGAGTCTGGGACCCTCAAAGTTACTGAGACTTCTAAAATGGGCAACATTCTCCAACAACTTGGGCTCCCACCAGCTGAGACGGGGTAAAAACCACCAGCGCTCAGGACACAGACAACAACATGGGACATTCGCCCATTTGTCCCAGTTACCCAACGGAGCAACTACGCATCCACAGGGATAGGTTGAATGCACATTGCTACCACACTCTGCTAATTTTTTTTTTTTTATCTAAGTTCATTTTTACTGTAGCATACTGTTTATTTGTTTCTTAGTTACTTAATACTATATTATGAGGTCTGACAGCTGTCCTTTGAGACACGTTATGCCAAATTTCCTCCAGCTGGCTTAGGGGTGTACCACTCTCTCCCCCCACCATAACCACTGATTTAAGCATCAAACAACATATAAGAGTGGGGTTCACCCTCTTACCTACCCATATACATTCTTTCAAGAGGTGCATGGCATTCTCTGCCCCTCAGCAACAACAGATTACTCCGATAGTCTCCCTATGAAGGATAGTGGGCTTAGTTCAATGATATTTAACTACTGTTTTCTTTGGATCTTAATATAAAATCCTCAGTTCAGTTGCAACACATACTGTCATATATTATATGCTATGCTGGTTTTGTCATGAATTGCGTTTTTCTTTTCTGTCATGCATGTCTTACCTTTGGAGTGACAATAAAAACAAAATGGCAACAAAAAAAAAGTACAATCTCAACTTAATTTCAAAAACTTAAAAAAAGCTATCTTTAGAGTACAGTTGCTAATTGTGATTCACAATTTAGTGAATAAATCCCATTTTCTTCTTTTAAAGTGTTTTTCTCACTCTCAAACTCTCTATTTTTCTTAATTCTCTGCAGTGCTGGACAACCATGGCTCCCAGTATATTCCTTGAACCTAGACAGCACCTGGGGTAGGCAAAAGAAAGCAAGCCATAATAGCCATTCATATTTGTTTTAATGTAGGACATCCAAGCAAATGAGAATATGAATTCTGGGAGAGACCACACTCTGTCAGCACCCTTTAGTTTGTACCAGGAAGCTATAATGAAGGCCACACTACAAAGAATGAATGGCAATCACACAGTTCACCTGTAATTTGCCCTCACTGGACTGGTGTGCCCAAAGGCAGCATCTTCTGCTGCCTTATGGTAGCACTGGCCTTGTTTAAGGCATGTATATCTAAAGTATGTTCAATGATAGAGTAGAGGACACAAACATCAGTTGGAGCCCACCTAAGTGTCCATCCAAACAAGCCAGATTAACAGCTATAACATGGCCCAAATCTCTAATACGTGATGGTAAACCCCAATACCATTTCACATATAATGGAACTGGCCTGTATAGGGAGGCGGTAAGTCAGTTATATATTTTGGCTAAGTCAAGTTCTTTTGAAGGGACTCTTCACTGCTCAAATAATTACAAACGACCAAATGTATCTAATTATGTATTTTTTTATCGGGGATGTATCTAAACAGCTTGCAAAATTTACAGATCTCTAGTCTGCAGTCTTTGCAAGCCCCTCCACCACCACACCTTCTAACCCAGCCCAGACTTCCTGTGACTGTCCAGTCATATATTCTTAATGCAGCTCAATGAGAAGTCTTTGCAAGGCAGGTGCTCTGGACAATTACTTGGCTCTTGGGTTTCGTTGCACTGAGCTAAACAACCAGGAAGTAACAAGACTGATTGTCCGAATGACAGTCAGGGGGTGTAACAATGTTAATTTAGAAAAGTGTCAATTTCTATTGCAATCTGCACTTTTTACAAAATGAGAAAAATTGGGCACACTCTTCACACATAAAGCTTTTCAGCAAGCTAAAGTGCTTTAGGGGTCTGCAGTGTCCCTTTAACCAACTTGCTATATATCTTTGCTATATTAGCTATTATTCACTAGAGAGAGCTCATAGTTATAGGTCTTGGCAATATTCACCATTTTGAATGAAACTTATAGATAAAGGCTTATATGGATCTTCAGGAAGTTACTAACTTGGAGCTCACATACATGAGTACACTACACTCCATTAAAAGGACACGTGTTTGCAGCCTCTCACACAATCCATCAATGTTTATGGGATTTACTGTCGCCTACCTTGATTGTCATTTTAATCCCAACTAGAGGATTGGAAATGTTTTGTATCTTTGGTCATATTTTCATTCAATACAGCTGACACTGTCATTTTGGAACTGCCTCTTCTTCAAGAGAGCTTTTGTGACATGGTATTTGTCTAGTTTCTTTATTGACTAGTCAATTCTCCATGCTAGGCGACTTAAAGGTATTGCTGTATTTATGAGTTTCTGGTTCATTAATGATTTATCTGTAAACCAATTATTTGATGCATGAGTGTTTATGCCTGATACCTGGTTTGGTGTGCAGCGATATTATATGCACTCTTTCTCCCATTAGATAGTATTTTAATGTTTGTGTGTGTGTTTTGTTTTGTTTTTTTTTAAAAAACAAACAAATATTTTGTTATTGTGAATGTAAAATACAACATACATGTCAATTTGTCATGGAACAGATACAGCGTCAATAGTGTACATGAAGCACCTGCATCCACTTTTTTAAATTATACAATACAACATAAGTAAAACAAAACAAAACTAAGCAAAAAGAAAAACTAAGGCCGACAGGATCCCAAAGAAATGTGTTTGTTTGTTTTAATTAATAAAATTGTATACTTTAGATATTCAAATTTTGCGTCCTCTGTATTTGATAAAATTATATTTATTTATTTATTTATTTATTTTTGTACCACCATTTCTTTTGGGGATGCAGCATCATTTTGTTTATGATTATGCATTTTTTTATTTCTTGCCAACTAGAAGTAAATATTTGTTTTGTACTGCCACTGGTGTCTTTCTTCTTTTTTTTTTATATCTATACTTTAGGTCTATATCTTTATTCCATTTTACATTCTAGCTTCTTGGCCATTGAAAGTGTTCTAAAAATGTTTAGTTTTCAAATGCTATTTTGCTGTGTTGGCACTGAATTTTAGAAGTTTGTTGTGTTGGGCAAAATTTGCGAATAGCAAAAGAGATTGAAATCACCCCTTGGTAGTAGCTTATTAACGCTGTAATAGGTGTTATTGCATTTGAAAATGCACAAATATGATTTTGAATAGTTGGACATTTTTTTACATACATTTATGTTCATTTGACTGTAAATCAGACTGCCCTTCTAACATCTCAGGATGGCATGATATTTATGCATCAGTAGGCAGGATTGCTGTCTGTCCTTTTTCAGCAGTGGTGGTAAAGCATGTAAAGTGAAACTGTCATAAAATATACATCTTTAGTTCTTTTTAAAACGTTTAAAATTCTATATATCCATTTTTGATAGCAAATGTATAGATTGAGAGAAAAAAACTATTTAAAAATATTTTTTTCTACCATCTCTCTCGATTCCCCAGCAGCCACTGAATGCCATGAAATTGAGAGATGGGGAGCAGAAGAGACGTCCCGTAGGAGATCCCTTTGCTCTCCACCCATAGCAACCGTAGTGCATGTACTGTGGTTACCATGGACACTCCATAGCCGGGGCTCGTAATTCCGGCTAGAGAGTATAGGAACGAAGGAACCTCATGGAGGAGGTTTAACCATGCTTATGGAAGTGTCTCCAAGAAGGAAAAATCAGAAAAGAACAGATAAGGGGCTTGGATGGACTGGAGATGGGTCGTACAGAAGTGTAACACTTATCTCTTTAATGAGGTCGTGGCAGGGGAGCGATTTGCCAGCTAAGCCATGGGAGTTTCCCTTTAAATGGAGAGTCAGACATCTCCCCTTGTCATAGACCATATTCTCTTACTTTAAAGGTTTCCATCTCTGCCTCTCTTCTTTCTTCCTTTCCTCTAAAATAGAGACTGCTTGATTTTCTTTCACCACTTTCTTTGATCCTTTTCTCTTAACATCTTTGATCTTTGCAAGTCTTGCTCTATAGCTTTCGGAGAGGGCAGGGATGGGCATGTACTAATTAATATGCAAACCAATTTTTCTATGTTCCTGATAAGCATTTAACTGCTGGAATTAAATAAATTTGAACTGTTAAATTGCTTATTGGGAGCGGAAAGCTTGCTGATACATGTGATTGGCTGGATTGTAATTGAAGCATATGTCTCTTAAACTCAATGGCTCTACCGATGCCATCATCCCAATTTGTGTATACCTCCCACTTATTTTATTGATCCTGCCACTAACAAAAAAAAAAAAAACTAGATACAGTGGGGCTATTAGGTTGCATTACTTGTGTTTAGTGAAAGTAAGCTGTCCTTCTATGCTCCTGGGACCAAAAACAGCATCAGTGTTCTTATGTTTTCCCATGTGCCATATTGAAGAGAGAGAAGAATATGTCAGGTCATATCCCATCTCTTTGTATCAGTACAATACATAAGACTGTAAAGCACATCATAAGCTGTCTTTGCTGACAAAGTATACATTACAGTTCAGTGTCTCATTGTTTATACTTGAAGGACTTGGGAAACAGACATGTACATTCATATCCTTAAGAATGACAAAATTACCAAAGATTTAGATTTTTGGTCATTGAGTCAGAAATAAATACCAATCTGCCAATTACAGAATGACAGAATGACTGAATGGTTCACAGTCATTCTGTCATTCTGTAGAAAGTAACCGCTCACGGCATTGCAAATGGGGGGAATGGGAGAGATATACAACTATTTATACAGCTATTTATTACAG